AATCCTCCTCACTCGTTCTCCCCCTTGTGCTGCTAATTACCACTGCTGCTCTTCATCCACCGTCACCTCCATCTCCACCTCCTCCTGCTCCTGCTCCTCCTCCTCCTCCTCCTCCTCCTCCTCCTCCTCCCTGCTGCTGCTGCTGCTGCTGCTGCTGCTGCGTTTGCTGCCGCTTCTGCTCTCTCATTCTCCCCCTCGCGCTGCAAATTACCGCTGCGGCTCCTCGGTAACCTTCTCCTCCTCTTCCTTCTCCTCCTCCTCCTCCTGCTTTTCCACCTCCTCCTCCACCTCCTCCCTCCCCTCCTCATCACCATAATCACCATCACCATCACCGTCACCATCATCAGCAACAGCATCAACATCATAACCACCATCATCATCACGACCATCATCATCATCATCACCACCATCATCATCATCACCACCATCACCATCACCATCATCATCATCATCATCATCATCATCATCATCATCATCATCATCATCATCATCATCATCATTAGCATCATCATTCTTATCATCACCATTCTCATCATCCTCATCATGCCATCATCATCATCATCATCATCATCATCAGTAGCATCATCATCATTATCACCATCATCACCATCCCCCATCTCATCATCATCGCCATCACCACCACCATCGCCATCGCCATCGTCATCATCATCATCATCACCATCATCATTATCATCATCATCATCGTCATCACCACCATCATCGTCATCACCACCATCAGCATCATCGTCATCATCATCAGCATCATCAGCATCAGCATCATCATCATTCGTATAAGCATCAACATCTCAACCATCATCACCATCATCACCAGCACCATCATCATAGGTCGGAGGTGAGGGGGTGAGATCGAAGTGGAACGGAGAGCCCTCCTACCAGGAAATCGATTTCGGTTTCGTGTTCGTGCGTGCCGTGCGTGCGGGCGAGGCGAAGCTGCGTGGGCGGGCGAGAAGAAAATCTCCTGTGGCTCAGGCGCGGCCGGACCAAACGACTCCCTTCCGGCAACCGGTGCCGCGCGGTGTCCCGCTGGTGTCCCGCTGTGGCTGAGGCGCGGCCGGACCAAATGACTCCCCTCCGGGAGCCGGTGCCGCGCGGTGTCCCGCCGGTGTCCCGTCGGTGTCCCGATGAGGATGATGATGATGATGATGATGATGATGATGATGATGATGATGATATCGATGATGTTGATGGTTATGATGATGGTGATGGTGGTGGTGATGATGGTGTCCCGATGATGATGATGCTGATGACGATGATGATGATGTTGACGATGTTGATGATGATGATGGTGATGGTGGTGATGATGATGATGGTGTCCCGATGATAATGCTGATGGTGATGACGTTGCTGATGATGGTGTCCCGATGATGATGATGTTGATGATGCTGATGATGTTGATGCTGATGATATGATGAGATCATGATGATGATGGTGGATATGATGATGCTGCTGATGATGATGATGATGATGGTGCCCTGATTCTGATGATGAGGTTGATGATGATGCTGTTGATGATGATGGTGATGATGATGGTGTCCCGATGATGATGTTGATGATGATGATGACGATGATGATGTCTCGATGATGGTGTTGATGATGAGGATGGTGATGAGGTGATGATGGTGATTTTGATGATGGTGGCCCGAGGATGGTGATGATGATGCTGATGTTGAGGATGATGGTGCCCCGATGATGATGGTGGTGATGATGATGACGATGATGATGGTGTCCCGATGATGATGGTGATGTTGAGGATGATGATGTTGCTGATGATGATGGTGTCCCGATGATGATGATGATGTCGATGATGCTGTTCATGATGATGATATGATGATGACGATGGTGGTGTTCCGATGATGATGGTGTCCAGATGATAATGATGTTGATGTTGATGATGATGATGATGGTGGCGCTGATGGTGTCCCGATGATGATGATGGTGATGATGATGATGGTGATGATGTGATGATGATGATGATGGTGTCCCGATGATGATGACGATGATGTTGATGATGACGATGATGATGATGATGACGTTGATCGTGAGATCGATTGTGATATCGGTAGTGAAATCGAGGGTGAGACCGAATGTGAGATCGATTGTGAGATCGATAGTGAGATCGACTGTGAGATCGATAGTCAGATCGATTGTGAGATCGATCGAATGAAATAGATCGAGTGAGATCGATTGTAAGATCGATCGAGTGAGATCGATCGAGCGGGACCGATAGTGAGATCGATAGTGAGACCGATCGAGTGAGACGTTGGTTCCTCCCCCCTCGAACCTCCTTAACACCCGAAGGGTGGTCGTATAAGTATAGATCACCGGGGGCCTTGGCTACCCTAGGCCCTTCTACCGACCCTAGGCTTCCCTAGGGTAGGCCCTACTGAAGGCCCTAGGCTTCCCTAGGGTAGGCCCTACTGAAGGCCCTAGGCTTCCCTAGGGTAGGCCCTACTGAAGGCCCTAGGCTTCCCAAGGGTAGGCCCTACTGGACACCCTAGGGCAGCCCTAGGGTAGCCTCAGGGGTAGGCCCTAGGGGTAGCCCTAGTTTAGCCATAGGGGTAGGCCCTAGGGTAGCCCTAGGGTGGCCCTAGGGGTAGGCCCTGGGGGTAGCCCTATGGTGGCCCTAGGGGTTGGCCCTAGGGGTAGCCCTAGGGTAGCCCTAGGGGTAGGCCCTAGGGTAGCCATAGGGTGGCCCTAGGGGTAGGCCCTAGGGGTAGCCCTAGGGTAGCCCTAGGGGTAGGCCTTAGGGGTAGCCCTAGGGTAGCCCTAGGGGTAGGCCCTGGGGGAAGCCCTAGGGTAGCCCTTGTATTGCGGATTGCAAACTGATTCCTTTGGTCGGGCGGGCGGGCGGGACATTAAATGCATTGATTGCTTTGGTGGCGGATCACATATGGATTCCCTGTGGTAGCGGATTGCAGATTGATGCCTTTAGTCGGGTGGGCGGGCGGGACATTAAAGGCTTTGATTGCTTGTGTGGTGGATTACCAATTGCTTCCCGTTGGTAGCGGACTACGAGTCGATTCCCTTTGTGGTGGATTATCAACCGATTATTTTTGTCGGGCGGGCGGGCGGGACATTAAAGGCATTGATTGCTTGTGTGGCGGATGGCACACTGATTCTTATTGTGGCAGATTGCACAATGATTCCTTTTGTCGGGCGGGCGGGAGGGACATTAAAGGCAATGATTGCTTGTGTGGTGAATTACAAGTGGATTCCCTGTGGCAGCGGATTACAAACTTATTCCTTTGGTCGGGCGGGCGGGCGCGACATTAAATGCATTGATTGCTTTGGTGGCGGATTACAAAGTGATTCCATTTGGCAGCTGATTGCCACCGGGTTGGGGAGCACGACGACGACGACGCAAAGCCGAGCCGATCGACGGTCGACGAGGGCGCCGTCTGGCGCCAGTGCGGCGTAGGCGGGGCTGCCACCTCCTCCTCCTCCTCGTTCTCCTCCTCCTCGTCCTCCTCCCCCTCCTACTCCTCCTCTCTCCGTCCCTCCTCCTCCTCCTTCTCCTCCGCGCTCTCCCTCGTCCTCTCCCTCCTCCTCCTCCTCCTCCTCCTCCTCCTCCTCCTCCTTATCTCGCCTCCCCCACATCCTCGTGCTTCTCCTCTGGCAAAGGCGGCCCTAGGGGTAGGCCCCAGGGGTAGGCCCCAGGGGTAGGCCTAGGGGTAAGCCCTAGGGATAGCCCCAGGGTAGCCCCAGGAGTAGGCCCTGGGGGTAGGCCTAGAGTTGCCCTAGGGGTAGGCCCCATGGGAAAGCCTAGCGTAGCCCTAGGGGTAGGCCTTAGGGGTAGGCCCAGGGTAGCCCTAGGGGTAGGCCCTAGGGGTAGGCCTAGGGTAGCCCTAGGGGTAGGCCCTAGGGGTAGGCCTAGGGTAACCCTAGGGGTAGGCCCTAGGGGTAGCCCTAGGGTAGACCTAGGGGTAGGCTCTAGGGGTAGCCCTAGGGTAGCCATAGGGGTAGGCCCTAGGGGTAGCCCTAGGGTAGCCCTAGGGGTAGGCCTTAGGGGTAGCCCTAGGGTAGCCCTAGGGGTAGGCCCTAGGGGAAGCCCTAGGGTAGCCCTAGGGGTAGCCCTTTTATTGCGGATTGCAAACTGATTCCTTTGGTCGGGCGGGCGGGCGGGCGGGACATTAAAGACGGTAGGGGTAAGCCCTAGGGATAGCCCTAGGGTAGCCCCAGGAGTAGGCCCTGGGGGTAGGCCTAGAGTTGCCCTAGGGGTAGGCCCCATGGGAAAGCCTAGCGTAGCCCTAGGGGTAGGCCCTAGGGGTAGGCCCAGGGTAGCCCTAGGGGTAGGCTCTAGGGGTAGCCCTAGGGTAACCCTAGGGTTAGGCCGTAGGGGTAGCCCTAGGGTAGCTCTTCCTTGGGTGATCTAGAAGTCATCATATCACCACCATTATCATCATCGGTATCATCTTCATCATCATCCTCAGCCTCATCCTCATCCTCATCCTCATCCTCTTCCTCAGCCTCATTCTCATCCAGATCCTCATCCTCATCCCGATCCCCATCCTCTTTCTCCTCTTTCTCCTCTTTCTGCCCCTCCTCCACCACTTTCTCTCTCTCTCCTCCTCCTCCTCCTCCTCCTCCTCCTCCTCCTCCTCCTCTCCTCCTCCTCCTCCTCCTCCTCCTCCTCCTCCTCCTCCTCCTCCTCCTCCTCCTCCTCCTCCTCCTCCTCCTCCTGCTCCTCCTCTACCTTCTCCCCCGCCCCCTCCCGCCTGCTGCCGTGGCTCCCCCAGCCCCCCCAGTTCTCCGAGAAGGCCACCTCTCCCAATCGCGCAGCGCGCCGGCCACGTCCCCGCGCAGCGGCGTGGAGAGGCGGAGGCCGCGGGCCAGCGCCACCCGCGAGCGCAGGCGCAGCTGCACAGCGGCTCCCCGCTGCAGCTCCAGGGCGGCCTCCGCCAGCCGCCCAGCAAACGCGCCGGCGGCCTGCGGGCCCGGCGCAAGCACGCTTGGCAGAACGTGCAGGGAGGGCCTGCCCAGAAGCCGGGCGGGGCCGTCCGATTCCGATCGGGCCCGTTCATGTCGGGCCGGGTGGCCCTCCGGGTGCTCCTTCTCCTCTTCCTCTTGCTCCTCCTCTTCCTCCTTCTCCTGCCTTCAGCGGCGCGCAGGAAGGGGTGGTGCGAGGGTGGTGGCCTTCCAAGGAGGCGGCGTGCTTCGTAGACGCCCTCCTGCTTTCTGAGAAGCCTTCGTAGAAGCCTTGTGAGAGGCACCCTGCCTGAGAAAACCACCCCCTCGCCCCGCCCCCCTCTGTGCGGCGCGGATGCTCCTCGGCGCGCGCCCAGGCTCCCCTCCCCTCCACGACCTGCGTGGGCTCGCGCCATCGCGGGGATTGGCACCCAGCGCCAGGAGTGGCGACGGGCGCGCCCCAGCAGCGGGATCTCAGCCAGAGCAGGCGGCCGAGCGCCTGGACGGCGGAGGGCAGGTCGGGGCACCGAGTGGATTGCGCGTGCAGGCTGTGGCCCAGGTGCACGCACGCCATGTGGCCGCCGTCGGCGGTGCCCCAAATGCAGCTGCCCAGGTGCCGCGTGCGCCCTTGGGCCTCGCTGGCCGAGGGGCAGCCCTCGGCCTTGGGCCCGGCGGTGCGCCTCCGCGCCAGCATCCACGCCTCCAGCTCGGCTCGCTGCCGCTGCGTCAAGCCCCGTGCGATTACCGAGCGGCGCCCTTCCGGGTCCAGGCACCGCAGCAGCTCACACAGCTGCGGCAGGAACCCCGCCGAGCGGGCTGCGGGCGCGGCCTCCGCGCCCATGGTCGCCCGCGTCCGCGCCGAGCGGGATCGCTGGCCCGGGCAGGCTGGCGGCGTGGCTCTGGCAGCCGCCAGGGCGCAGACGGGCGTGCGCGGGGGGCCGCACGCGGAGGCAGCCGACGCTGGGGCGGGGGCCCCCGTGCCCGCAAACGAGCCGCGCAGGGCTGTCGGGACGGTGTCGCGCATGCACGCAATGGGCTCCGAACGCGGTGGGCCGCCGCCGCAATCGGGGCTGGCCAATCTGCCGGCGGGGCCCCTGGCCAGGCGTGCCTCGAAACCCGCGGCCACGGCGCTCAGCCTCGCCCCGCGGCCCTTCCCCGACAGGCATGCCTCGAGCGCGTCGCGCTCGAACGCTGCCGCGAGCGTGCCGAGGGCAGAGGTCTCGGGCTGCCCAGGCGCACTGCCGCTGGCGCCCAAGAAGGGCTGCGGCGAGCGTGGCGCCGGCTGGCGCGAGCTGGCCCGTGGGCGGCCGCGGCGCCGAGCGCTTGGAGCGCGTAACGTCGGCTCTGGCCGCTTGCGCCCGCGCTGCCCGCGCACAGGGGCGGCCTCGGCGGCCATCTTGCACTGGGACAAGGCTCCGCCGAGCCCCGGGGTCGTCGCGGCGGCGGCGGCGGCGGCGGCGGAGGGGGCCTTGCCGCCGTTGCGACCGCTGCACCGGGTACTGGAGCGCACAGGGGTTGGTGCATGCTGCAACGCGCATGTCATTGTTTCCATGTTTGCCTTCCCACGTCGGCCTTCTTTCTGGCCACGGTGACATGGGAAGGCCTAGCGACGGCCGCGACGGTCGCGACGGACGCGGCGACGCTCACGGCGGCGCTGGCGACGGCTCTCGCAGGAAAGGTTGCAGCTGCCAAGTACGGTGGACTGCGCATCGACGCCGATCTGCTGAAACATCTCCATGTTGCACGCCATGGTCACTCTGCGTATTGATATGTGCGAGCAAAACGCACGAGTAGGTCGCAAGAAGCACTAGTGCCTCGTCCAGTCTTGAGCCCGAACTTTCCTGAACGTAGGACGATCAATGGTGCGAACAAACATTCAAGAACAATCGTTGTCGCCACACGTGATGACAACTTGCGCGCGTTGCATGGATGCTGTGCAAGTTTGCGTACGTACATCATCGAATCGGCCTTCCATGTGACCAATAATACGGATTTCGCACCATGCCCAACATGCAAAACATGCCGTGAGAGAATCGATGCGATGTCGCAACCGGGGGAAGCAATTGCCACATTCCAGAAACTCGGACTTCAAAAATGTTCATGTCCGCCGGCAACCCCGCAACCGTTGTGCTGCCGCCAGCCTTCCCCCGAGGACAAGACGTGCCAAAAACGAGGCCCTTTCTCGAGCATCCTTCTGTGAGGACTCGGTTCGAACTGACAGCTGCAGTCTGGCTGCCACCTCTTGCGGGGGCACCAAGCTGTGGGAGCCAGGCCGTCGCAGCATGCCGTCGTATCTGCTGGCATCTCTGTTGTAAACTGGCCGCATTGGGTGTGTGGTGCTTCCATGCTGGCATGGGCGCCTGTGGTGTACATGTTCCAGGTCAGGGCTTCTGGCTTTCGACCTTGCGAAGTGCAGCCGTATTTCTCTTGAGTGTTGACTGTTTGAACATCCCTGGATCCAGATGACATGCGTGAGCATCCCTGGGCCGCACTCCCTAATCCTCTGGATTTCTAGGGACATGTAACTATCCAGAGCTTTGTGCTTCCGATGAAAAAATGCGCTGGGTTCACGGTTTCAGGGTAATGATGAATCGTCGCATGCGACGGGTTCGCCCTTCAATGGCCACGGACCTCACTAAACCAAATATCGATCACGACGGGGAGCGCTGCTGCTTGATCCGCTTGCTGCAATTGCTGCTGCATGCTGTCGCTTGTGGCTATTCGCTGCTGCGCGCTGCTGCTTGCTCCAGCGTGCCGCTGCGCGGTTCTGGTTTCTGCCAGTTTAGCATTTTTGGTGCGCGTATTTGGGGCCTCTCATTGCACCTCTCGTGCGTTTTCCCTGGTTGTTGGAGTCTGTCGGGCAATCTTTGGGCATTATGCAAGATTTCGGGGCCCTTCAGGGTACTCTTCGGCCGTCTCGGGAGCCTCTGAAAGTGTCCAGCGGGCGTCTTGGACTTGTTTTTCCCCAGCCATCCTGTGGTGTTGGGTCAGTGAAAAGTAAAGGGTACAGGGCTTGACCGCGAGGTAATAAGCTGGGAACCCTACTCTTAGGATCACGTCGGCGACGTGTCGAGGTATCCCACAACTCATCCCTTGATGGTAAACGAGAGGACAGGTGAGAGAGGGGCCATGGGAATGGAAGGTGGATCATAGAACGACGTGGCCTTCGTCCGTTGCTAAGCTCCCAATAGAGGCGCACAGAGTCGCGTGCACCTGGCATATAGGCCAGCGCTGCCTTGAGCCAAGACAGCGTCGGATATAGCGTTCGCTATACAGCCTCACCTTAAAGTCGGGAGGGGAGGGGCCGACCGCTAGACCCTTGTCCGAAATATTCTATCAAGCACAGAAGGAGGATAGGGAGGTTGTTTTCAACATCCCTGACAGCAAACAAAACCAAGGCACAGAAAAGGCCAGCGTAGAGTATCAAGGCTGGTCATGGCGTATTGCCACGACGAACCGCAAACGATTATGGGTAGTCACGGGCAAATCCACGTGACTTCCCACAGACAATTAAGAGGGCAACGTCCAGCCAGTGGGCCGGACGTCAAAGCGTGCAGCAAGCGAGGGGATATGACCAAGCGGTCAGATCCCCTCTTTAAAAAAGAGGGTGATGCCCGTGTCCGGGCACTGATGGTAACTGTGACGCTATGAGTATCCATGCCTATGGCCGGGCGAGGATGACCACACTGTAGGTATACATGCCCGTGTCGGGCCAGGATCACTAGTTGTCTGAATTTGAATCGTCGTCCTCGTTGTTGTCCGCTGGCCCTGAATAGGGCGCCCCTATGTTGGTGCTGTGTCCTTCTTGCCTTGATAGGGTACGTGCTTCTATACATCGTATTTGACGGCTTGGTATCCTTCCATCACTTGCAGCAGTAACGCGCGATCGATGCGCCCCTTGGCATGGCCGTCGGCGGTTATATCTCGTGTATCACACCATTGTACGATGTGAACTATACCGCGGTCCATCATCTGTCTTATTCAGCTGATATGCCCCAGCAGGGTGCATTCGGTCACCTTTTTCAGCAAGGATTTGAACACCGACTCCGCGTCTATAGTCAGTATGGCTTTAATGCCGAGACCACCTTATTCCAACATGTTCTCGAACTGACTCGGTGTTAGGGGGTCCAGCTTTCATGTAGCGTTACTATGCTAGGAAAAAAACAAACCTCAAGATTGTGAACGGCTGCCAGTGTCTCAGCTGAATAGCTGGAGCGTACCTGCAAGCGATGTGACCTGCAGTCTGCATCTATCAGATGTACTACTGCTTTGCCGTTCGGCGTGTGTCCACGCAGTAAAAGGTTGGCTCCTCGGATGCCACATCCCTTTGCTTCGTTATCTTCGCCCCCATGAGGGCGACGGTTTCCTGAATCACTGTGAAGGTCCACTTCTCCTGTCGGGGTCATGAGTTGATCTATTTTTTCTTCGGACCTTGCTGCGGCTTGCGTGTGACAGCGTCGAGTCTTTGTACTTGGATGCTTGTGGGCTCCTGTGCGCGTTGTAAAGATACCGCGTGGACCACTGGCCATACGTGAGTGGCCAATGCATACGCCAAGGCGCCGCGTAAACTGATGAACATGTCGGACACAGTCTTCGTTGCCTTTTCTTTCGCTACAGCCCCCGTGAATTCTGGATGCTGTGTCGGGCGAAGCTGCTTCATATATATATATATATATATATATATATATATATATATATATATATTCATCCGGATTTACCTGGACGTGGCCGTCCTCGGTCTGAGTGCGCCGTGCGGCGAAATTTGTGTAACTGTGTTTGTTCAGTTTACATGCGCCGAACGAACCTTCTACACATGTGACGTACTTGTCAATTGTGTCCTCCACTTCTGCCATGGTGATGTCGTCCGCGTGCTTGGCTGTCAGGAGGTTTGGGCTGGCCTCGGATCTCTCATCATATGATGTGGGTTTCGGCCCGAAGCCTCGTGTGATGGTTCTGAACTTCAATGAGCACGCCCTAGGGGCGTCTTTGGTGCCTGTGTCTGGTTTAAGGCGCTGGAGACAATGCTTTGACTCGTTATAGGACGAGAAATCGGGCAATGTGCGTAGCTCCGAACCTGAACCAGGTGGAAGAACGAAACAAACTATGCGCTCTTTCTCACAAGTGGCCTCTGCCAACTCACGGTGAATCGAACCCTTCAAGAAAGCCTTGTCGGTGTCCGCGGGTGCCATGATCCACTGTTTCTTGCGCGCGGCCGCTGTGGCGAGCAATCTCTGGCTTGCTCGACGTTGGTCAGAGGGCCCGCCTGCCCCTTCAACGAGAGTCATCTATGTGGGGTAGGATGCCCAGTGTCTCGTCGATCGAGTTCGTCCTTCCCCCGCTGGTGCCCTGCTCGGCGGTGTTGTGTGACGACGAGCTAGGGTCTCCGATGTGGAAGACCTGTGGCCCGTCCTCCACGATCGGGACAGTGCCCCAATCTTCTGTGGGCGTGGCCGCCCTTGACACATTGGGGCTACCGGTGAGCCAGTCCCTTGCCTCCTCCAGGTGTGGGTGGAGGATGCTTGTCATTGGGGTTGGATCCCACTTGTCAGCTGCTTCTTTGGGGTGTCTTCGGGCCCTTTGGGAGCTCTCTTGGAGCGTCTTGGAGCCGTCCTGAAGACGACGCGGACCGTGTGCGACTTTGGCTGTGCGGGGCTTTCCATGGCGCCCATTCTCTCGTGGAGCCTCTTGGAACCTCTTCTTGGGCCATCTTAAAAGTCTCTTAAAGGCCTCTTGGGTCGTCCTCGAGGCCTCCAGGTCTAGGCTTCCCTTGGTCCGTCTTGAATGTCCCTGGAAGTGTGAAACACAGCTTTTCGAATGTTCACCGGAATCCATCCCTTCGCCATCCAAGCCGCTTCAACTTGCACATCCGAGCGGGAATTGCTTCGCGTTTCCGCCGTGCGAAAGATCACCGCTCTCCAGTCGAAGCCCATGATCAAATCCGCCGACCCTTCGGCGTATGTGAGACGCTGTCGTCGTCTTCGTCGTTTTCGTCGTCGTCGCCAGTCCCAAGAAAATTGAGCAACGAACCGAAAAAAATGTCGTAGCTAAGTCGGGGTAGGGTAGCGGGGGGGTGTAGGGTTGGCGGGGTCCTGGGTCAGATTGCTGTCCTCTGAGTCTCACGGCGAGTCCCAGGGGGTGGTCCCACCTGTGGAGATCCCACCTGTGCTTAGGGGGGACAGGGAGGGGTTCCCCGGGTGGGGGGGGCCTGCACTGGTCCTGGCGCTGGCCCCAGCCCCAGCCGTGGCCCCACAGTCTCAAAAAGGTCCCTGGGGTTTCCCTCTTCTGATATCAAGGCAAGCCACATCACATGGCTCATACCAATGTATTCAGTGCTCCTAGTGTAACACAATTGAACAAACAAGCGTGGCATAACTTCAAATTCCATAGCATTCGCACCCGTAGTATACCATCACAATCATACCATGCCGCAACGCCTCATCATATCAAATCACGCCGCAACACGTCATACCAGATCGGTACCATGTCGTGGCGGCGTTACACCAACAAGCCAAGCCACACCATCGCACGCTGCACATCGAAGTTCATAGCGAT